GCTTGGTTTGATATATATAGCTAGGGTTTGGAAACGGGAAAAGACAATTTTGCCATTGATTGATTGGGCTAGGAATGGGATTTTAACATTTTCGATTGGGCCTCGTTGTGAGAAGGTTGGCGTTATTGAAGGCCCAGATGGATAGAGTGGTCCAATTCAGATTATTATTATTAATATATGGGCATTTTGTCCATTATCACTGAAATCTTAAAAAAGAAAAAAAAAAAGAGAGAGAGTGTTACTTCACAACATTTTAGTTCTTATCATAAAATAAAGAAAAGAGAAGTAAGAATGATGGTAGCACTAGAGATGGCAACAGTCCCCACAAGGGCGGGCCTCCCCATCCCCATCCTTGTCAATGACAAGTATGAGAATCCTTGTGGGGATTTTTGGCGGAGAGTCAAAAATTGCTTCCGTTCCCATACCTGCGGGGAATAATAGGTCCCCGTAAGTATTCGGAGTCTCTACCAAATAAAACTATCACATATTCCACTGCTTGTTAATCAAAATTTTCACTACTTGTTAATCAAAATAAAGCTTAATATGGCTCTATTTAGACTCCACTGGTTTTCATATTCATCAAATAAAACTAACTCAAATAATCATATAAAGTAAAATTTTGAAATAAGATAAATAAGCAATAAATATACACAATAACACAGCCAATATATACATGTCATTATCAAGCAAGTCTAGCAAGCAAGTCAGCAACAAGTTCATATTTCATAAAGAAAAAAGGTATAAATTGCCATATAAATCCAACAAATCTAACAAAAAGTTTGTAAAAAATAAAAGCATAAATTGCAACTGTCATAGATATCTAGATTCAGCAAAGTTGATAGAAAAAAAAAGAAGCATAAACTACTGTCATACATGTCCAGCAATAAGTTCATTAAGAAAAAGCACATAAAAGAGTCTAAGAAGTGGTACATGCATACATATCCATCCAATCCAGCAAGGTAAACTCTACAGCAGCAACTTAAGCTAACCTTGATCAATAATTTTAAGTTAAGAAAATAACTTCTTGAAACAAAAACAAATACCCTAAACTAATAAAAAAATTTTTTAAAAAAATTATATAATAATTTATATAAAAAAACATTATTGTTTAAAATTTACCTCAGACTCATCATCTTCATTATCATTCTCCTCCAACTTGTCAAATAGATTGAAAAAATTCCCATTATTATCAGAACTTGAATTTCAAACATAATAAAAGTTTAGAATACAAATTCAAAACTAAGAAAATAAGAGAAATATAGTCTTAATTTAATACCTTTCAGATCTTTCTTCAACCAATCTTGAAGACACATCAGTGCCTTCAAGATGTTTATTGCAATAGACACAAATTGCTTTCCAATGACCATTAATTTTTTGCCTCCTATAATGGTTCCATGCTTTAGAAGTAAGTGGCCGCTTATGGCCTTGATCATCTTTTTTATCCTCACCACTTTCTAACACAAGAGAAGCCATAACTGAGGATGAAGTTGGTGTAGCAGCAGCACTCGATATAATACTTGCACTTGATTCATTTGGAATTTGAATTGATGGGAAGCTAGACTCTTGTGAAGACATTGGCTAATTGATACCTAAGAATGAATTAAATTAGAAATTACTAGTTAGAAACACTAAAGCACTAAAGCACAAAAATTAAATTAGAAATTACTAGATAGAACACTAAAATTACTAGTTAAAAACACTAAAATTACTAGTTAAAAACACAAAAATTACTAGTTAGAAACACTAAAGCACTAAAGCGCAAAAACTGCAGCTTCAAAAACTGCATCTAATTGATACTTGGAGTTGGAGAGTTTGAAAAGAATTCAAGGTAGAGTTGTAGAAGAGGAGGCCACGCGACAGCAGAAAGAGGATGACCCTGCCTTGGAGTTGGACGTGAGCGGTGGTGAGCAGTGAGTGTTGTAGACTTGCAGTGGTTGTAGTGACGGCACGGTGAGAGGCTGAGAGCTTGAAGGGAATCACCGAAACATAGTTGAGATGGCCACACAACAGCAAAAAGAGGACTACCCAGCCTTGGAGCTGGAGGTGAGCGGTGAGCGTTGCAGGGGTTGTAGTGATGGCACGGTGAGAAGCTGAAAGCTTGAAGGGAATCATCGAATCACAGTTGAGATGGCCACGTGACAACAGAAAGAGGACGACCCAACCTTGGAGTTGGAGGTGAGCAGTGAGCAGTGGTGAGCGGTGAGCATTGCAGTGGTTGTAGTGACAACACGGTGAGAGGTTGAGAGCTTGAAGGGAATCACCAATTCACCGATTCACAGTTGAGATGAGGACAGAGAGGATTGAGCAAGAGTTACAGCACAGAGCATGTGCGACAGAGGAGAGGAGACTGACTGGAGAGAGGAATTGCAATTTGCAAGCGGCAAGCAAAGAGACTGAAATCTTGGGATAATTGGATTGTCCTTCTGCTTCTAGGGTTATGTAAATTGGGTTGGGCAATTAGGTTTAGGAATATTAGATTGACAAAAAAAATGGGTTGGGCTGACAATTGGGTTTGGAAAAATTGAAAAAAAAAATGAGTTGTGAAATTTAAGTTATGTTGGTATTGGATTAACTAATTAGATTAGGTAAGTAAAAATTAATTGCTAACATATGTACAAAAAATATATATATTAATAAATTTATATTTTTTTAATTTTATATGAATTCCCACAGTTCCCCATGAGGTGGAGGAAATTCTCCGCGAAATTTTACTGAAAAAAAATTGCCTCCATCCCCGCCCCACGGGGAGGAATATTCTTGGAATCTCCATCTCAATGTTGGAGATCTCCGTGAAACTCTGCGGGTCACAGAGAAAATTGTCATCCCTAGGTAGCACTAGCAACCCATAATTGACTGGTAATGCACATTTAACACTTTAACTTATATTAAAATTTAAGTTTTTATTAATACAATTATAATATTTTTTATTTTTTTTCAAAATTCCCTCATTTAAAAAAAAGAAAAACAAAAAAAGAATGACAGTAGGAAAATTTTAGAGACTTAAATTCTATTTGTTGAGAAATTTCTCTTTAAAAAAATCAATTTTCAAAATAAATACCTCCACTCTTTAAAGAATTTAGATTCAAATAGAACAATATTGTATGTAAAAGAAATTTAAATAAAAACTCATATAACTACAGCCATACTACGATAACCCCTTCAATTTTATAGTAGATTGAACTTTAGCTACTAATTATGAATCCCACACTGTTATGGTAAAAAATTAATTGAGTTGACAACCGTAAATTTTTAGGGGCTATATTTTCCATTTAAATTGAATTATCAAACATCAATTTGTACAAAAATAAATTACAGTTCCCAACAGAGGCTACCGTTCCAACGCATGTGTTTTTCCCCCACAATATTTGGGAAATGATAGAACTCATTTATGTTTTAAAAGAAAGACCTGTTAACGGAAGGAGCCATTCCGTTCTTTTTTCTTCTTTAATGGAAGGAAGCATTCATTTTTTGTCTTAGAAAGAAGTCACAAGATACCACAATTTAGTTCACAAGGAACCAATAATCAAGTTAAAATACCACCAACTTAGTCCTTTGCCTAAACAAAAGGTTTAAATCATCCAACACAACACAGTTTATAGGCACTCAAAATTTCGGCTCACATCACTCAGGAAGAAAAGGAAACTTAAAAATAACGTAACTCATGGCACCACATGGTGAGAAACAGCAAACATAGAGGCATCAACGAAGTCTCCTTGCTTCTCTCTCAGACTCGAGCAGGGTGAGGACATCACCCTCCCTGACTGGTCCCTTCACATTCCTCATGATGAATCGGTTTGGGTCATCAGTAAACCTCACCCTCACTTGAGTCACCTGCCCCCTCGATCCAGTACGACCAACAACCTTCACCACCACAGCATGCTTGATTTGGGAATCCATTCTGCAGATAACACATAATTAGGCAATTAGAACCATTTTACAAAGCAAATCCAAACTTCAAATGGACAACCAAAACCCCTTTTTGAAATTAACAGACAGCCAATTCAGTGTCTGCAAACATTCAATATCTGAATTCCTCCCATGCTAAAATGCAAAAATAAACCAACGAAAATCCAGCTAACTCGATGGTTAATAATTGATCATTAAAATGGTTCCCAACACAATACCCACTGATAATAAAGTTAAAATCTGATTCATTCGTATATAACAGCTCTTATTGAATAACTCTATCAAATGAAATGTAGATTAAGTAATCAACCAAACCCCACTTCGAAATTAAACAACTAGTGTACAGCTAATTCGATGTATGCAAACATTCAATATCCCAATTCCTCCTATGCTAAAATGCAAAAATAAAACAACAAAACATCCATGTAACATCATTGTTAATAATTGATCAGTAAATGGTTTCCAAAACAATATCCGCTGATACTAAAGTTAAAAGCTGAGTCATTCATATATTACAGCTCTTATCAAATGGACAGCTACTTTATTGTACGCAAACATTCAACATCCGAATTCGTCCTATGCCTAAATGCACAAATAAATGAACAAAAATCCATCCAACACGATGGTTAATAATTGATAACTAAGATGCCTGCCAAAACAATATCCACTGATTCATTCATATATAACAGGTCAAACGAAAAGGATTGAGTAATCACACATATTCCAGCAACCATACAGAAAAGATTTCCATAAAAAATAACACAGTTAAGTTCCCCTGAAAAACTTAAAATTTCAAGTCCTTCACCATCCTACAACACTTTCTAAGCAACCAAACAGGAAGGAATTACATAAATAATAATGATCACATTGTTAAGTATCCGGAGAAATTTAAAACCTTTAAATCCTTCAATCACCTCGGAGATTTTCTCGGCTACGAAACAGAAGAAAAAAAGAAAAAAAAAACCTAGCCTATAAGAATCAACACAGCATCAAATCAAAACCT